AATTCTTTTCAAAATTTTTGTAATTGAAAAATATTTTAGAATTAATTAAACTTCTTTTCTTTTTGTAATTAAAATTTTTATTTATTTATTTATTTTTTTCGATATTTTTTTTTCAAATTTTAAATTTCAGTAATTGTTTTTTATTCTTATTTTTTTAGTACTTAAAATTTATTATTATTTCTCGACATTTCTCCCTCGAAATTCAAATGCAAGGAAAATGAGGGATAGCGAACTTCAGAAATCAAACAGCATCATACACATGAGACTAGATAGTTGTGACCTCGAACCAATAGCAGAATTGCATCACGAGTTCCACAAAATAAAAGCACAACAAAAACTAATAATTGACAATGCTAGAATAGTCTCATCATCATCAACGAAGAACCAATGTCGATATCCTATCTGGCGCTCAGCGCCCAAACTACAAATGACAAATCCTATCTAGCCTATCTACAATGCCGCTGATGACTATCTACAATGCCGCTGATGACTATCTACAATGCCGCTGATGACGTCAACAACTCCTTGAAGTACGAGCAGATTTCGGCCAATGCCATTCACCTCAAGCACCAGGTATGTCTTTCGTATCACTCACAACCTCGATCCCCAACTCACAAATGCCACTTCCACCCAAGAACCACCATGCGCCCCATCCAGCCTACAGCAGCGCAGCTCGGCTATGGCTGCCTGCTCCTTCCACCTCGCCAGTGAGCGCGTGAGTCTAACCAGCGTTAGCGCAGCAACGCTTGCTCAGCATGCAGTCAGTGCCCGAATGACGAATGTGTGTGCAGACCCTTTCCAAAATGGAAGTGGTCTGCCTGCCTTGCGTGCAACCTGGCTGCGCTGGGCCCCTGCCCAGAAGCTTCCGGTAGGCCCAGAGAGGTTGAGCCCTAGACCAAATGGATCAGGCCTAAGACCTGTGACAGTTAGTCGTCCCCAACTGCCCGCAGCCTGAGTTGGGTCCATGCTGCGTATCTCCCTCAGGGCCTGACTCATATGCATTTGATAAAGGAGGCCAGGGCCTGGGCGCTTTCAACCAACCGGCGCTGCGCAACGACCTGAATTTTCCCCCTGTTGCGAAGTAGTCCAAAATAAGCCTCGAAATTCAAATGAAAGGAAAATGAAGGATATCAAACTTCAGAAATCAAACAGCATCATACATATGAGACCAGATAGTCGTGACCTCGAACCAATAGTAGAATTGCATCACAAGTTCCACCAAATACGAGCACAACAAAAACTCATAATTGACAATGCTGGAATAGTCTCATCATCATCAACGAACAACCAATGTCGATATCCTATCTGGCGCTCGGCGCCCAGACTACAAATGACAGATCCTATCTAGCCTATCTACGATGCCGCTGATGACATCAACAGTTCCCCGAAGTACGAGCAGATCTCGGCCAATGTCGTTCGCCTCAAGCACCAGGTATGTCTCTCGTATCACTCACAACTTCGATCCCCAACTCACAAATGTCACTTGCACCCAAGAGCCACCATTCGCCCCATCCAACATACAGTAGCGCAACTCGGCTATGGTTGTTTTTTCCTTCCACCTCGCCCATTAGCGCGTGAGTCTGGCCAGCGTTAGCACAACATGCAGTCAGTGCCCGAATAACGAATGTGTGTGCAGGCCCCACAAGCGGTTAACGGGTAGCTGAAAATTCAATAATGAAAATTCTGAAGTGAGAGTTTTGGGCAGTCTTAAAATCCTGAATGGTCCTGAAGCGGTGAAAGGTTCGAAGACCCTGAAAACCACCTGTTTAGGCAGGCTGCATCCTGAAGTGGTGAAGTGAGAGTTTTTGGCAATCTGAAAATCTTGAATGGTCATGAAGTGGTGAAAGGTCCGAAGACCTTGAAAACCACTTGTTTAGGCAGGTAGCATCCTGAAGTGGTGAAGGGTGTCCTTAAGTGGTGAAAGGTCCGAAGACCCTGAAAACCACCTGTTTAGGCATGTTGCATCCTGAAGTGGTGAAGGGTGTCATGAAGTGGTGATGAAAAATACGACTGTTGTTAACCTTCTCTCGTTGTCTGAGAACCTTTGCCCTGTTGACTGGCTGTGTCGTCAAGTTGGGTTTACACTTCTGCCATGCTTGCAGAATGTCTTTCCAAAACTTGAACTTGGATCTTTTGCAGAGGAAGACTTGGAGCAAGATGGCTACCTATACATCCTCTGAGTGAGAAACCCCCCATTGTTCGCTCAACAGTTCCTCTGCCAGGACACACCAGTCCTCCTGCTGGTCTGCAGTGACCACCTTCAAAATCTATTTTGAGAGGAGCTTCAAGTTTTAGGAGTTCGGGTCTATAAGTGTCAGGCCTCCTTGGCTCTTTGGAGCGCACAATGTATCCCATGCCACCTTCACAATGAAGCCATTTTCTTCATCAGAACCAGGCTTCCAGATGAATCTTCGAGTGGAGGCTCTAACTCCTTTGATCAATGGTTTTGTCAATCTTTTAACTTTTGCCACATACCAGAGGAGAGAGAATGCCGACACAGTTACCGCTAACACTCTTCCAATTAATGAAAGATGTGAGGTCGGGCCCCAACTACGTATCCTCTTGGTGACTCTCTCCTGTAGGATGGTCGACTGTGATTCTGTACAGTCCTCAAGCGCCAACTGCACTCCCAAATATCTTTATGCTTCTCCCTCCTATACTCTTCGCATACCCCATTCCACCTTGAGGTTGTAGTCTTGAGGCAGGTAAAAGATGGACTTATTCAAATTTACATCTGCTTCAGAAAGCTCTGCATAACGGGATAAGCATCCTTTCAAGGCCTCCAATGAGACCTTCTCATTAAACCACCAGTACCTACCGGTTGTCAAGGCGCGTGGCTCAAACTACCGGTAGCCCAGTCATTGCTGAGCCTCATACTTTATTGCCGAGCCTCGGACAACCGATAGTACACAACGGGAAAAAAAAACAAACACAAAAAACATACAACATTCTGCAAAAAAAAAAAAAAAAAAAAAAAA